GTCAATGGAACAGGAAGCAACCCCAGCAACAGCAAGACGGTGGACATAAAGGAGAAACATGTCCAAGATAGAGTACAAAAAGGAGACATCACAGTGAAGACGGTCGGGACCGAAGATAACATCGCCGACACGTTCACTAAACCATTACTGTACGTGCCTTTCGGGAGACACCACCCATATTTGGGGTTCGACAAGAGGTATGCGATCAGAGTGATCGCGATATCCAAGCCCTAAAAAAGTCATGGCGAGATCAACTGAGACGAATGATGAATAGTGAAGCCCCTAATTACATCATTCCGGGGAGTGTCACGTGGTATCCGCCATGTAGGCATCCCTCACGTGGCAAGAGGAAAAAACTTCCGTACAGGGAAAGTTTTTTCCCTTTCCTTTCTTCCTTAAGGGTTTTTAGAGAATAGTAGTATCCTAAGGATCCGAAGTACCGTACATACTTGAATTGAGAAATCTGATACTGAAAGCGAGTGTGCACTGGGGTCGCGGCATCGCAGCATCCATCAAGCACGAACTCGACATGGCATCTCAACCTAAAGGCCTCACGACTTCCCGTCCACATCACTCATAATGGCCCGTACCACGCAAAATTCAGCCAAGGCGTCGCCGGAAAGCGTTGCGCTGAGCTCCACCGCAAATACCGACACTATGGTCCCGGACTTGGCCGAGACTTCGCTAGATCAGCTTTTCCAGGCGCTTGCGCAGGAAACCAAGCCGGTAGTCGACGACGAGATGAGTGAGTTCGACAAGATCCAACGCCAAATCGAGCAGCTTCCAAAGATCGAGTCTGGGCTAGAGGCGTCCATGCAAAAGGCAGTTGATCAGAAGCCCCTGCGGTCGTTTGCCGTGAAAATCGACGATCCTGTCACGAGAGCCAGGAAGGTGAAGAAGGAGGAGAAAACCGACTCTGGCGACGACTGGTTCAACATGAAAAAGCCGGAGATCACTCCCGAAATCAAGAGAGACTTGTTGATTTTGAAGAACAGAAGTGCCTTGGACCCTAAGAGACACTACAAGAAGGAGAAATGGCAGGTTCCCAAGTTTTTTCAAACGGGAACGATAATCGAGGGCAACACCGAGTTCTACTCTGCACGGATCTCCAGAAAGAACAGGGGAAAAACACTAGCCGCAGAGATCTTGAACGACAGCACCACGACAGAGTACTTCAAGCGCAAGTACACGGAGATCCAGAAAGTCAACAAGAGCGGAGGCAAGAGCCACTACAACAAGCTCAAGTCGAAGAGAAGAGGCTACTAGCCCGGGAACTTTCGTGTTGCTTTGCAGCCACGAGTTCAGTATGGTACGATGGCGGTATACTCCAGTACTACACGATGTGAGGACTTCCGTGGTGTCCGATATCAGATTTTCAATATGCAGATGGAGATACTTTAGGGTCTGGGGCACCTCAGTGACGCGAGTGAGCTCAGTAGCGTGCGATACAGCATACCCCAGCGATATACGACATGGGGTACCTCAGTGATGTATGATGTGGGATACTTCAAAAATACACAATAACGTTATGGAGAACAGTAATTTGCAACATGAGATCCCAAATTGATAGATATAGAAAGCCGTAGTTTCTTCAGTAAGAGACCATATCAGGTATTCCGGCATCCCAGGAATCCACGAGATGGATACTCAGATGGGCATGATACCGATGCTTACTTAATATACGACATGGGACACAACAACAATGTCATGGACCTAGCAATGCCCGACACAGACCTCAGCAATATATGATATGGAATATGTTCCCTATTCAAGAAGATACCTTAGTACCTTAGTAGTACATAATATGAATACCCAGTACTATACGACATCACCAGTCTAAAATGTAAATCTCCGCAATATAAAAGCGGGATACGCTACGCACACGATAGCGGCGCCGGTTGCCGAGGAAGGGTAGCCCGGGCCAGCCAAAGGCTGAGTCCCCAAGGCAGGGCAAGGCACTGATGCCAGCAGCACCCAGTCAGTGCAAGCCGCGGCTACTCTTCCAAGCCGGCCCGCTTAAAGACGTCCATCCGCACACTGTCCCAGAGGGCCTTTTTCTCCTCTTTGGTGAGCTTCTTGCGCTCGCCGTCGGCCAGCCGTTTGAGGTCTCTTTTCACGGCGTCGCTCTGCAACTTGTACTCGTAGGCAGTGGTGGCCGCCGCCGCAAGATTGACCAAGTAGTTGCGGATGGCAATCTCCTTGTACTTGAAGCCCAAGAACGTCTGCTCGGACGGCGTGATGGGAGGCGACGGGAGGTGCTTGCGCTGCTGGTTGATCTGGAGGAGCCTGGACTGCTTGACCGAGATCTCCGCCACGGACTTCCTGAACGACGCGTCCAAGTTGTGTTCCACGTATAAGTTGGAGCTGTACAACGTGTGGATGAGCTCCTTGTCCGTGATGTAGGGCTGTAGTAGAACCACGTGGCAGATCTGCGCCAAGTCCCCGACAAGCTGCGGCAACAGGTGGTCCGAGTACACGAGGTCCGGCGACGACGACACGAGCGGCATGGCGGTGACCATGAGCTTGCAGCGCGTCACGTTGAGGTTCCAGTCCACCAACGATTCCGGCACGTTCTGGTAGTTGAGGTCGCTGCCCAACGAGATCTTGATTTCCTCGTACTCGTCGTCGGCCACCGGCAACGCGGCAGGCTGTGGCGAGGCAGGGCCGCCGGTATGCAGCAGCGCCTTGCGCTCCATGAGCTTCTCTTTGCAGAAGTTTTCGTGGAGGAGAATGTCGTTGATGAGCTGCTCCACCGTGGTGGTGGTGGGCTCGCAGTCCTCGGGAATGGTGGCCGTGGACGACGAGTAGAGCGACGGCGCCAGGCGCACGGACCGCCTGCTGCAGGAAAACACGCTCAGGGCCAGCGAGTGGCGCAGTTTCAGCGAGTTCTGGAGGTGTCGAAATTGCAGGGGAGCCGAGCGCACGGACGAGGCCGAGGACTGCGCCGCCAGCACGGGCAACTGCAGGAAAATGGCGTTTCTGGCCGAGTCCCTGAAGTTGGCGGGCGCCAGCACGCCGTTGCTGCTGTTTCCGCGGGAGCCAGGAAATCCATACATGGCTCAGTGGGGGAGAAAAGAAAAAATGAAGAAGGCAGAGGGCCCATTCGCGATGGAGATGCGGGGCGCCAGACGCAGCGATTTTCCGGCGCCTGCACTGGGCGGGCCTCTGGGTATATTGCGTGGGGAAGCGAGCACAGATCTTCCGCCCGGGGCTGGCGGTGTCGGGTAGGTTCCTGAGGTTTTGGAAAGAATCGAGGGGATGCTGGTGGGGGCTTTGGAGAATTGCTGGGGTTTCATGAGACAGAATGTTTTTTTTTTCTTGATAAATGGCTTGTTTCTGGTTAGACCTGGACAGACGAAACCCAGGAAAAACACCTGACGGGCCGGGGCGGCGGGCCTGCACACAGGCGCACGCGACGGTTGGCTCGCGGGGCGGCGTGGGGCCGGCTGCGAAAAAACTGCAGTGTGCCCGGGGAAGATTTTGATGTTTTGGGACGTTCCTGGTTATGAGTCCTTTTCGTTTCTGGTCGCTTTGCTTTTTGATTTTGTGGTTGTGAGGGTTTTGGTTTTGGTTCGTGTTCATCTTGGAGCCGAGTCCTTTCAATCGGAGTTCTTGTCTGAGCTTTCTTGGTCTTGGCTCTGATTTGTTTTGGGTCGAGTTGGTTCGGGATCTTATTTTTTTGAACGTTCTCGAGTTTAAATATTGAGAGTTCTTTGGGTTTGAGCTCTTTTGGGCCAGGGCTCTTTTTAGGTTATGAGGCTGTTTGGTTTCGGATCTTCTTTGTTTTGAGTTCTCTTGGTATTGAATCTTTGATCTGGTTGGTTGTACATCTTTGGTTTGGGTCACACCTGTTTTGAAACTTTTTGAGTTTGTACATTTTTGATTTGAGTTCTCTTGGAATTGACTATTTTTCTCTTTGGATCTTCTTGATTCAGTACGTTCCAGCTCGTGAATCAGGCATTATTTAATCTGAGGCTTTCTTGATTTCGGATCTTCTAGATTTTGTTTATTCTTGCTTTTGGATCTTGGGTCATCTTGGAGTCGAGCCCGCTGATTCTAAAATTTTGGTTCTGAGCTTTTGTTCTTGGGGTCTATTTGGTTTTGGATCTGTTTTGAACCTTCTCGAGTTTGAACGTTTTCGGCTCAGAATTCTTTTGGGTTTGATTTTTTGAGCAAGAGCTCATATTAGGTTTGGAGGCTTTTTGGTTTCGGATCTTGTTAGTTTTGGATCTTTTGATTTTAACATTCTTGCTTTAAGATCATGCATCATATTTATAATCTCGGATATTGTTGGTTCTGAGCTATCTTGGTGTTGAATCTTGGTTCCGGTTGGCTTTGGATTTTTGTTTTGGATCTAATTTGGTTTGAAACTTCTCCGTTTAAACATTTTCGGTTCTGGGATTTCTTGGTTCCGGATTTTGTTTGTTTTAGATCTTCTTGAGTTAGTCCATTCTCGCTCGTGAATCATGCATCGTATTAACTCCGAGTCCTTTAATCTGAGGTTTTCTTGATTTCAAATCCTCTAGAGTTTGTACATTCTTGCTTCTGATCTTGCTTTAACTTGGAGCCGAGTCTTTTCAATCTTTGATCTTTTTGGGTTTAGATCTTTCTGTTTCTGAGTTATCTTGGAATTGAAATTTGGATTGTTTCAGACCTTCTTGGTTTTGATTATTTTTGATGCATTTTGCATATTTCTGATTTTCAGTCCCTTCAATCTGAAGTTTTCCTGACTTTGGATGTTTTTGGTTCGAAGGGTGTTTGCTTCTAAATCTTCTTGATTCTGAACATTCTTACTGGATCTTGCATCTTAGAATTACGAGTCCTTTTGATCGGAGATTTTCTTGCTTTAGGATCTTTCTGGTTTGGAGGCTTCTTGGTTCTGGGTCTAGCTTGTGTTGAATAAACTTTCCTCTAGAACCTTTGAGCCCTGTTCCTGAAATTGAAAGAGTTTGCTCTTGACCCTTGTTTGAATGCCTTTGATCTGAATCCTCTCAGTTCTGAATCCTCGCAATTCTGCAACTCCCTTGTTTCAATCATCTTGTAATAAATCCTCTTTATTTGGAATCAATTCAACTCCGAGCTTTGTCCCCTTGTTTCAAATTCCCTTCATGAGACCACTTGTTTCGAGTCTTTTTATTTTGAGTCCCCTCAATTTTGACTCCCCTAATTTTGACTCCCCTAGTTTTGAATTCTCTTATTTTTCATTCTCGTGTTTTGAGTCACCTTGTCTCATGCTTTGAGTCCCCTTGTCTCGGGTTTCAAGTCCCCTTGTTTTAAATTCTCGTGTTCTGATCCCCTTCAATCTCCTTTCTTTGGATCCCGTTGCTTCAGACCCCGTTGCTCCTAGGTCTTCATGTTCTTTTATCTTCTCGCTTTGAAATTCCTGATTTTGCACATCTTTCAATTTTTTTCTGTGGCTTGTCTTGTCGTTTTCTGTTTGGCCGTTTTTTGGCCTTTCGGCCCGGTCTCCAGTTTCCGGATCTGTGTTTGCCTGGGCCCTGTGGTGTTGCAGGCCCTGTGCTGGGCCTGTTTACTCGCCCCGCTCCCACTGATTTGCACCCAGCGACAATGCTCATGTCTGGGAGCAATTTCTTTACAAATGTCTCGTGTTCTTTTTCTCCCGGGCTTCTGGGTATTTCCAAGCACAGCAGGCTATTTGCGGACTCCGGCCCTGGCCATCACTTCGGCAAGTTCGAATTGTCAAGCCCTAATTCCAAGGCTCGGGCCCACAACGGCAGTGGCCCCAGCTCCTATTCTTTTTGGCTGGTGCGGCGCGTCGCTTTTCGCGCCCTGCTCTCAGGGCCAGCGCCAGGCGAGCGCACCACAGCCAGCGGGCGGCACAGGGTTTCAGGCTGCAAGGCAACATGGGCCTGTTTCTCAAGTCAACGGGCGTATTACTCCAATGAATGGGCAAGTACTCTAATGAATAGGCGGGTACTCTAATGAATGAGCAAGTGCTCCAATGAATGGGCTAAGTACTCGGAATGTGGAAGTCACTAGAACCAAACTCATCTATTCATACAAAGGGCACAGATACCCTAAACAAATGGGCCTACTACTCCACCACCTAATGGCCACTTACGCCACCACATAATGGCTACTTACTCAAAAACTAGTATTTATTCTTGCAATGCTTCCAGAATTGCAGCAGATGCTTCAGATTACGCATTTCAGAGCCCCTATACCTTTTGTCACCCGAGCTCAAATTGTTTGAACTTCCAGGGTTTGGGCGTGCCTGGCGCAAACAGAGCATTTTCTACCCGCCGCACAAACCCCTCGGTTGCCCCAAAAAAAGCCCCGAGCCCGCCAAGCCGCGTCCAGCCCGGCCCCGTCCTTTTCTGGCCCCGTCCTTTTCTGGCCCCGTCCTTTTCTGGCCCCGTCCCTTCCGCGCCCCGTCCCTTCCGCGCCCCGTCCTTTTCTGGCCCCGTCACTTCCGCGCCCCGTTCCTTCCGCGCCCGTCCCTTTCTGGCCCCGTCCTTTTCTGGCCTTCCGCGCCCCGTCACTCTTCCACCAGACCTTTTTTCCTGGGCCCTTCGCGCGCTCCAGCAGACACCAGCATCCGGCCAGAAACACCCGGCCCGGCCCCCTCGCATCGACTTACTCCTCCCCCCAGCTCACGCCAATCCACCCACACTGCCAGCATGCCACGTGACGAGGTGGACGAACACTTTTCCGACGACTTGGGCTTCCGCTTGCTGACGCCGCGCCTGGGCGTGCGGCTCTTCGACCGCCCCGTGGCCTTCGACCAGCCGCCCGGCTCCTCTCGCCCGCTCCAGCTCTTGCATGTGGGCCGCCAAAAACACCTCTACGCGGCCTCCAACGGGCTGTCGGTGGGCATCGGCCGCCTCGCGGACTTGGACTCCGACGCGCTGCAAATCCGCGCCGGTTTTGCCGTGTCCCCGCTCGCCAGCGTCTCCAGCCTCAGATTCGACTGCACCAACGACTACTTGTACGCGGTGGCGGCCGGCGTGCCACAGAAGGCAAACGTGGACGCCATTCTAGCCGCCGGCTCGGCCGCCTTTGTGCCCATCGGCACGCACTCGGACGTGTGCGCCCTCGAGCCCTCGCCCGTGGACCCGGCCACCTACGGCGTTTTGGACGACACGCAAACGCTCCGCATTGTCTGCGGCGCCATGGAAACGGACGTCCCGGGCGTCCTGGCCTTTGCCTGGACGCACGCCGGCACGGGCGTGGCCGTCTTGGCCGGTGCCACGTTCAGGTTGCTCGACACCCAGGGCCTGCAAGTCGCCTGCCATACTTTGGACGGCGCCACGCTTCTCTCTGTGGCCACCATCGACGAAGACAACTGGTACGTTTTCGCCCAGGCCGGGGTTGACGGCGACGGCGACGACGACGAGGTGCACATGCTCGTCTCGCGTACAGGCGGCTCGCTCACGGCCCGGTCGTTTTTCTTGCCCCCGGCCTACGGCGCCGTGGCCCGCGCCCCGTGCATGTACGTGGCGGCCGTCCACGACTGGCTCAAGGAAACGGTGTACGCGTTCATCGCCAACGGCCTCAATCCCGAGATCGCCACGCTCGAGGTGGGCCCGCACACGAGAACCGTGCTGCTGAACGACACCGACCGCGCCGAGTTGCCCATGGACGAGGCGTCCGACGAAGACACGCTCCCCGTCGGGCTCGCGCTCGACTTGTCGGGCACGCACCGCACCGTCAGAAACCCGTCGCCGTTGATCGAGCAGGCCGTGGGCGTGTTGCCCCGCTTGTTGTGCTTGAACAACACGGGCTGCCTCTTGGCGTGGGACGTGTTCCACGTTTCCGCCGTGCGTGGCGGCTCGCTCGACCTAGCACGCGCCGTCTCGAGACTCCCGGCCGTCGCGCCGGTGGCTGCTGCCCAGCCCGGGCCCGCGGCCCCCACTCCCATCACACTGAACAAGTTCGCCGAGTCCTTGGGTGCAGAACTTTCTTCCTTGGCCACGCCGGACGTTCTGAAACCAGCCGGCCCCTCCCTCATGCTGCCCACGCCCGCTGCCCTGGGCTTTGGCAGCACCAGTTTCGGCGAGCCCAAACCCGGCAAGCCGCCCATGTTCGGCTCGAGTGATTTCGGCTCCAATGCCCCGGGCTCGGCTGCGGCGTTTGGGGGCACGGGTTTTGGCGGGGCGCCAAGCGCCAAACCGCCCATGTTTGGCTCCGCTGACTTCGGCTCCAAGCCTTCGAGCTCCGCGAAGCCGTCTTTTGGAAGCTCTGGTTTTGGCGCTTCGCCCATGGGGGGCGCCCGCTTCGGCTCCTCCGCCCAAGTGGGCCCGGCCTTCGGCTCCGGTGCTGCTTTTGGCCAGGCCAGTCTCGGCGCGCTGAAAGCTGAAAGTCAAGCTCCGAGCGTTCCCTCCAGTTCCACCTCGACGTTCTCGGGCTTCGGTACTAAGTCAAAATTCGGTGCGTCGTTTCAAGGAAACAGCGCTTCTCCTCTTGCTAGCTTGACAAAGAAGGAGAGTTCCGCTTCTCCTTTTGCTGGCTTGGGCAAGACCGACAGCACAGCTTCTCCTTTTGCTGGCTTGGGCAAGACTGACAGCACTGCTTCTCCTTTCGCTGACTTGGTCGGAAAGGAAAAGTCTTCCTTCTTAGGGGCTCTGGATGCCTCGAAGCCTGTGTCTACTAGTGACAATTCACAATCCGTCTTTTCTTCCCCGTTGGCGGCATTGAGCGCGCCCAAAGAGTCGCGGTCGCAGGGTCCATCAATGCCAAACGGCGGTCCGTTTGGTGCCAATCCTGACAACAAGGCATCTTCGTTTGGACACACTGCGCCTGAAAAAATGACCCTCCCATCTGGCGCTGTGCCGCGTGTCTCTGCATTTACAGCGAGTCAGAACAATATCGACAGCGACTCTGAGTCACCCTCAGAGTCTGACTCGGACTCTTTCGAGGCCTCGGGCGACTCGTCTTCCGCGGACGAAGGCCAGTTTTTTGAAAAGACTTCGTTCTCCAAGATGGACTTGAACAAACCCTCGCTGTCCACGGGTCTTGGCCAGTTCAAGTCGTCTTCCGTTCCTCCCGCTTCAATTTCCAAAAAGGCATCCGCTGAATCAATTTCATCGGCAGAGAACATCATTTCTGGCACGGAGAGTCCTGAAATGAAATCGCCTTTTGGCGCGGAGAAGGGCAACACAGAGAAGCATTGGAAGGGCCTAGACGAGTCATCCGCAGACGTCAAGAACACTGGCGAAAACATACCTCTCAAAACACAGATTCCGGACAACACGTCCTCGCACAATATAAAGGACGAACCTTTGTACGCGGGAGAAGACATTGCCGAGGTGGTCAGAAACATTGAGTTTCTTAGACTCGGTGGTCTCACCGAGCAGCCGGCTACAATGGGTGACGAAGTTGCACGGAAATTCACGGAACTCGTGCAGGCCGCACAAGCGAATATGGACGTTCTTGCGCTAAACACAGAAAAAGCAAAGGCTCTCGTTGATGCTTCGGCGGTGCACAGAAAGAGTTTGGCAGAAGATGACGTGGCCGATCACACACAATGGGCTTTGGGGGATCTCGACGACTTACTCCAGATCGTGGCCAAACCGCGAGCAATGGTGGACGATATCTTGTTGTCTTTGAGACACCAAGACTCCAAACTCACACAACTTTTGGAACGAGTGTCCGTAGCCGAGGAAAAGAAGGAGCAAGTCGAGAAGGTCGTGACGCAGTTGGCCTTGTACAAGCACTCGCTCGAAACATCCAAGAGCATGGAGCGGCCCCTCGACGCGCGAGCCGAGATGCTGCGCAACCAGTTGAGAAAGACATTGGCCCGTGTGGAGCTGCTACAAGAACAAGTTGCCCACCAACTTCTCCCGTTTGGCGTGCGCCTCGATCGGGGCCAGGGCCGTGTGGCCCGCGCCGCCAAATTGGAAAAGGTTGTACGTGAATTGTCTGTCAAGACCCGCGAGGTCGTACGCCAGATCGAGGAGCTTGAGAATGAAGTCTACAAAGTATGCGAGGAGAAAGCACCTGTGAGCGGTGCAGCCGGATGGTCCCCATTATTGCTCGGATCTAAAACCGCGTCCGTGGACAAATTTGCAATCTGCGCCAAGTTTGCCAAGGCGCTGACACCACGCAAGATAAGCCTTGCGCAAAGTTAGGCCGTGGACTCTGGCGGAAATCTGAGCTGAGAAAACCAAACCTGCGAATTCCGTGCCGATTAAATGAGGCCGCGTGTTTGGGTTGGGGAAGGGTGGTGCTGCACACAGCCCGCGACCCGTGTACTCGGGCCTTGGGCACCGGGCTCCGCAGAGCACCTGGTACTTCTGGAAAACACCACAAGCAACACCTAATGCCAGATTTTTTAGGCTCATCCGTGGTCGTTCCCGGCTCCCAGCGAGTCACTGGTGTGTTGAAATATGTGGGTTCGATCCGCGGCAAGACCGGTATGTTCGGAGGCATCGAATTGCTGGGCCCTCTGGCCTCGGTCCGTGGCAAAAACAGCGGCGAAGTCGACGGTGTACAGTATTTTGACGTGTCGGAACCGATGACCGGGTTGTTCATGCCGTGGGACCGGCTCCGGGCGGCGAACCCATCGTTGCCGGCCGCAGACCGCTTGAAATCGCGGCCTCTGAGCCTGAAACGGGCGTCCGTTTGCACGCCCACCCCGCCCCGCCGCAGCAGTCCGAGCCCACGTGTATTCAATGGTCACCTGAGTCTTCTGGAATCCAGCAGGTCTTTCCTGCGCGTGAACTCGTTCAGCAGAGACCTGCGCAGGAGCCCGTCGATGTCCAAATTAGTCTTGGACTCGCCCATGGGCGACCGGCCTGCGTCTCTGTCTCGTTCATTCCAAGCACCCGGTGTGAGTGCCGAAGCGGCCGAGCTCCGGGCCAAGCTTGACGCGAAATCACGCGAGAGTGACCGCAAGGAGGCCATTTTGCTCGAGTTACAGGCCACTGTCGACCAACTACATCCGGTGCTCGAAGACTACGAGCGCAACCTTGAAGAAAAAGACAGAAAGTTGAAGAAACAGAAGAACGACTACGATCGGGCACGCGAGGAGTGGCGCCTGAGCCTCGATTTGATGCTCAGCTCGCAGCAGGAGGCCGAGAACTTGTACGAAATGCAAATCAGCGATTTAAAAGAGGAGATTCAGGCGCTTGCATCTGCCAGTAGGCATTCTTCCGGCAAAATCGAAACGGAGTCCGTTGCCGAATTGACTGCGCTTCGTGCAGAAAACGATCATCTCCGTTCCAAGCTAACCGACGTTGAGCGGCAGATCGAGCTTCTTCACAAAGAAAATACAGAGCTTAGGATCCAATACGAAAAGTCCGTCGCACCGACAAGCACATCCAGTGCCGGCCAAGATGGCGATAATGAGGTAGTTGAGCTGTTGAAGAAGAAAGTGGATATGCTCACTCAGGATGTTACTTCCATGGAAATTGTGTTGCAAGATGCCCAAGCCAAGTCACGCGCCAAGAGTGCTGAGGTGGCTGAGCTCGAGATCAAGTTGGAAGAGCTCACTCTGCAAGAGGTTGAGATTCTTCTGGACAAAGTGGTCGACATGTCGCTTGGTGATTGGGAAAAGGATGTTGCACAGTATCAAGAAAAAATTGCGGCGCTCGAACAAAGCCTCGAGGCTGCTAACACAAAGTCTATTGAAGGCTCTGATTCAGCGAGAGCAAATGAGCTCGAACTCGCAAAGTTGCGTGATACAGCTGTAAAAAATGCAGCAGAAATGCATGCGCTACAGCAGAAAATTGAGTCTCTCGAGGCAGAGAAGGCAAATAATGCTGAGTGTGTTTCTCCGCCAGCTACAAAAGACGAGGAATATATGGAAAAGATCGCGGTATTGAAGGAACAGCAAAGCGCATCCGAAGAGACGATTAAAAAGCTAACGCATGATCTTGACAACCGGCCCTCTTACGAGGAAAGCGAGTTGACGGAGCTCCAAAACTCCCTAGAGATGGTTGAGTCTTTGCACAAGCAGGAAATGGCCGATTTGCAGGAGGAATTCAAACAGTCGCAAGCGAAAAACTCCCAGATTGAAATAGAATTACACGCTCTCCAGGAGAAATTGGCCAGCTTCGAGCTGAAGGCAGCAGGGCCGGAAACCGATGAGTCGAATGCCAAGCCATACACTAGCGAGTCAACGGATGCGTTGAGTTTACAGGCGTCCAACGGATCGTTGCCGATATACAAACCCGCAATTGAGCTTGATCCCAGTCAGGGCCGCGACGATTGGTGCGGATTGTGTGAGCGTGATGGACACGACAGCTTGAACTGCCCGTACGAAAACGACATGTTTTGAAAACGCGCTAGTAATAGTGGATAGAGGGATAATACTACAGTTAAACATATCACGGCCACGAGGCAGCTGAGGCATGGACGTATTAGTCTGTCCATGGAACGACCCACGAGCTATGTTTTCGCTGTGTAGATGAAATCATGTATCAGCGCAGTGTCTGGTGTAGCGACGCTGTCAAGATCTAATGCTTGAAGTATGCAATTGAACGCGCCAGGTGTATAGTCGAGGAACGATAAGTATTTTCGAAAGTAAAATGAGTACGGGCCACCAGCTTTCTAGCAACTGATTTTCCCTGCTTCCAGAAGGCTTGAACCTTGGAGCAGCAACTGTCTGGGTTGATGTCAGCCATCCCATGCCGATGTCATGTGACACTTTTTCGGTATACCATGCCGCGAGGGAAAGCGGGAGTTTCTGACGCCGAAACGAGTAAATTCTAAAGGCCTTCATTAAATCTGCCCCGCGTGCTCTGTGAGCTCAAGCTCATTGTTTCGGGCTGCTTTTGGAAGGTGTTAGAGAACGCGTTTCGGGCTGTCGCGGGCTTAGCCATGCAATATTGCCACTGCCATTCCAAATCAATTATTGCATTTCGAGTCGGATTTTTCATACCCGCCGTGTCGCTGCATTTCGATTTAGCTGTTGGTTTTCTGACCAGTCCTTGCTTTTCTGAGCGCTTGCTTTTCCAGGTTCTTGCTTTTCTGAGCGCTTGCTTTTCTAGGTTCTTGCTTTTTTAGGTTCTTGCTTTTCTTAGACCGTGCTGTTCTTAGACCGTGCTGTTCTTAGACCGTGCTGTTCTAAGCTCTTGCTCTTTTAAGGACTTCCTTTTATAAGGCCTTGTATTTCTGAGTACTTCCTTTTTGAAGCCCTCGCATTTCCGATATTCTAAGCCTTTGCTTCGATCCTCGGTTCTCATCAGGTCTCGCGGTCATCCGGCTTTTGCAACGGCTGCACCATTTTCTTGATGAGCTCTTGCCTCAAAAGAAGAGGGTGTGTGTTGGTGGCCACCGAGTTGTACATGAGCAAGTTCTCGTGCATGGCTAAGGACGCAAGCGTATCTCTGTGGATATTGGTGAGAAACTCCTCGCGGGAAGTATCAGCGTTTCCGATGCCCGCGTAGATTTCTTTCTGGCGCAAGTACTGGTGGTTTTCGCGTATTTTGTCCGCCATTATTGGGTGCTCGTAGAGAAGATGGGCATTTAAAGATGGAAGATGGAACCGAAGCATCGCGCACGCCGCGCCTCGCCTGCTAGGCCCCGGACCGGCTGGTTCCTGCACACACGTGCCATATCCGGTATGGGCTAGGGCCGGCCCTGGAACCCGGCACCGTAGGGTCTTTTTTCGGGTTGGCTCTTATTATTAGTCGCCGCCTCCAGGGCTGAAAACAGTGTTTGGTCAGTAAACACGTCAGTGAGCGAGCATAAACGAGCGTAGAGTACAAGCAAAGGACAACGCTTTATTCAAACGTGTCTTTGACATTGAAAAAAAAAAACTCCCAAGAACAATTGGTGACAGATGGCAGGCTCGATAATCAGCTTTCCCCGGCCTGGGTATTCTCAGTGCGCGTCGCCATTTGCTTCGCGTGCCGGGGCAGGAAAAAAGGACAGGCAAAAAAGGCGAAAATAAGACAGGCAAAAGGACAGGCCAAAGGACAGGGAAAAACAGGCCAAGCAAATATAGAAAAGGCAAGAAAGTACAGGCAAGAAAGGAAAACAAAAATGGGGCGAGGAGACACGAGATAAGCGGACCACAATTATTACGTCCGTCTCGAAGCTGGCCCCGGAATCCCAATCCTGTTGCCATCCTCTCCAATCGTCACTGGGTCTCTCTTTTCGATTGCAGCCGCAAGCGCGGGGCGCACAATGCGGGGCCGTTTTGGGGCCGTTCCGGGGCCTCGTTTTTTGGCAGCCCGCGCACGGCGATCGGCCGCTGGCCCCGCGCGGCCCCAGCTGCATTCTGACCGCCCTCTGTCTCGGGCCGCGAGGGGAAGCCGGCCGGGGTCTCCAGAAGCTGGTGGCTCGGACCCTTGGTGGACGGCAACAGGCATTATTTCCCACAAGTTGCAGCCTGCCCTGAGACGGACGCTGGGATTTGTGCCGAACGGCTGGCTGTGCCCGGCGCTGGATATTTTTTTTATTATTTCGGCACGCTGCTCTTTTTGGCGGCATGCTTTGGATGAAAATGTGCCCGCTTCCTATTATGGCCGGTGTTGGGAACACTGGCCTGGGGCGTTGGCGGGAGCTGGGCTTGGATTCCGCGCGGCTCCGTCAGTGTAGCTGAGACCACCGGGCCAAAACAGCGAGCGGCCAGCGCAACGTGTCTAGTTGCGGCCGCCTGGAAGCAGCGCCTTTTCTGTTCGTTTTTCTGGTTTGCTCTTTATAGGCTTGCATTTTGTGTGCCTGGTTTTTTGCTCCCAATCCTTTTTTTCTATTCTGTGATTGTTTTCTTCGGCTGCTGGTTGTTGAAAAGGGCTCAGAGTTTATTGCGGGGCTCCTAGTATATCGGTGCGGCCCGGTCGCATGGCCCTGGCGCATAGGCCAAGCACCCCGCGAAGCTGCGTGGGGCAGAGGCGGTCATGACGACAGAAGTCAGACAGAAAATCAATGGAAACGGGGAGCAAGCAGATGGCATCCAGCCAGGAGAAAAATGACAGACGAGCAGAAAGACCTGGCAATCAACGGTAAAACACAAACAGAAAATGAGCAACGACTGAGCAGAAAAGAAAGGATAATTAGACAAAAATATACGCGAATTCCGCCACAGCAAAACAAGACAACGGAACTGAAAACTCATTCTTAATAAACAAAAAAAGAAGGTCAATTAAATAAAAACAGACACCAGCTGACGGAGTAAAACAAACCAGTTGATGAAAAAAGAATCCACAATTAAACAGAAAAAAACGTCTATTTAAGTGTCACAACCAAGCACAATCAATTATCGATTTTCCAGGAAAGAGACGGCAATCAAACGTAAAACACCCATTTACCATGAACAACCAAGCACACAATACCTTCCACCAAATAAATGATATTTACACGAGCCAACCACACACTACAAATCGAAAGTCAACCGAACATTGCAAACCCAAACGTCAACCAAAACGCCAGCATCAATTGAAAAATTCAAGGCCATCCCAATTTCAAAAACTTCCCAAGGCCACCAAGGCACCAAGGCTCTACGGCGCTGCCCTATCTTTTAGTCTCTTAGTCATCTTGTGCGCTGCCGCGGCCCGCTGACGCAGCCGTTGGCACACACACAGGACACCCGTGCACCAGTCACAACGGGTCCTGCACCCGGTCCCCGCACCTGCTGCGCTGCGACCTGCGCTCCGGCACCGCTGCAACATACGAGCCCTCGCCCTGGCCCTGGCGCCTGACAGCCATGTGAACCCCGCCAGCTACCTCCTTCTTTTCCTCGCCACTTGTCCATTCTCCCACACCCGGCCTTTTCTGTGGCCCTTCAGCAAACCGCCGTGCACGTGACCCCCGGCCTGCCTTGCGGCCCTGCTCCAGTCTTCCCGGCCCATCGCTGTCTGTCCGTTCCTCGCCATCTGCCCGGCCCCAGAAACAGCCCTTACATTAGCCGCCCACCCCTTCTCACCCACACCCACCCACCCCCGGCCAAACCCGGCCAAACCCGGCAATACCCACCCACATCCCGGCCGGCCACAAACACACTGCCCCATGGCCGCCAAGAATCACAGCAGCACGCCCGCGCGCCTGGCTGTCCGCGAGCTCGCGCAGGACGCAGACGACTCCTCGCTTAAGATCATCCGCATGTACCACAACAAGCGGTACTTGCCCCACAGTGAACGCGTGTCCAACCTCGCGTGGCGCATTCAGAACAACAAGGCGCTCAAACAGGCGCGTGGCAGGCTGCTGAAGCCCGCCCGGGCCCCCGCTCCGCCCGGCCGCCCCGACCCCACGGCCGCCTCAAAAGCCCCTGACGACTTCGACTACGTGGCGCATATCAGAAGAATCTCCCAGGACGAGTACGCCGCCCAGGCACGCGGCCCGCCCGCGCGCAGCGCCAGCTTCCAGCTCGGCGCGACAACCACGCCCAGCCCGGCCATGGCGCCTGCCGATCCGCTGTTCCTGGACTCCCAGTGGCCGCCGCCGCCGCCCGACCCGCCGGCCAGCTCGTTTCTTAGCTCGTACATCGACTCGCTCGAGTCCACCATCAAAAACGACTACCACCCCGTGCGTCCGCGCGACCAGAGCCTGGCCGCCGCCGACTCCTCGGGCCACTACGTCAGCGACAAGGTGCCGCTGGACCGGCGCCAGGCGCGGCTGCTCGCGTGTTCCAACTGCCACACCCGCACAACGCCGCTCTGGCGCAAGACCGCGGCTGGCGACACGCTCTGCAACGCCTGCGGCTTGTTCTACAAGTTGCACGGCACGTTGCGCCCAGCCAACGCTGCGTTTGCGCCGCCGCCGGACGCCCGCGGGCCCCGCCCCGCCCCGCCGAACCCGCTTTTCCAGGGCTCCGTGGACGGTGCCATTTCCTCACGGAACACGGGCCTCTTCTCGCAGATGGGCGACGTGCCACACTTCACCAACCCGTCGCAGCACGTGTCCGCAGGCGTGTCCACCCAGGCCGTGGCGCGTCTCAAGCCTGGCGACTTCTTTGGCTCTGCGGAGCTGATGGCCATGCTGCCCGCCGCGTGGGGGAGCAATGCGCCGGACGCGGCCGACAACGGTGCGGACGAGATCGACCGCTTGCTCAACATGAACCTCTTCCAACTGGACCACTTGGCCCTAGACAAGCTGGGCAGCGGCTTTGCGGGGCATGGCTTCGACTCGCGGGGCATGGAGGCCACGGACGAGATCTTGATCGATGAGGCCGCGACGGGCTTGGCCAACTACAACTGGCTTGATTTCCAGCACTAAGCGACTGCGGCAGGCCTCCGGCCCGAGTCACGACAGGCCGGTGAGCTCTGCGACTGTTTCCTTAACATCACATCACGATATCCCAAGACATATTTCTAGATGAGACGAGACTTTCAGGATGTTTCAGGCTGTTAGACCTCAAGGCTGGTCATGTGACTTACAGTTGACTCCTGCATCACTTCATCTGAGCCGCACTTCCTCATTGATATGCCTCTCCACAACTGATACAGATCCTACAATCACGTCCGCTGAGGACCCATAGGTGTCCACAAAGTCCTTGCTATGAACTTACTTGGGTCTAGAAGCGTAAATTGAGGGTGGTAGACAGAATTCTTGTTCCCACATACCACCCTTCCCAAGAAATCCCTACTTATACAACGTTCCCTGGAAACGTCACCACACGCTTGCCTAGGTGCGACTCGTCAATGGCCTGGACAAACGCGTCCCTAAGACTGCCCGTGCCGTCCCACGGAATGTGGGTGAATTTCACCGGCTGGAATACCCCCGACTTGTAAAGAGGCAACAAGCTCCGGATCGTGTCCACCTTCAGCTGCGGGTTCTGGCGCGTGTTCCGCGTCAACCAGTAGCTCTTGAGCGTGATGTTCTTTGCCAACTGCACACCGGGCGAGTACTGCACCATGCCTCCGGACATGCCACCGTAATTTACAAACGTCTGGTCATTGGAGAGCGCTGCCACCAAGTTGGGTGTTGTGGGGCCTGCAACGGAATCGAGTGCAAGCCTGACGCGGGCGGTTTCCCCCACAAGCTTCGGAAGAGTGGCCGACACGAAGTCTTCCGCAAGAAACTTGTCCTCGGCCACGATTTCAGTGGCTCCGAGCCCACGCAATTCCTTCGCAACCTCGGCGAAGTCTGGCTTCCTGCGCACAATCCCCAATGTTTTTACTCCGTGGTGTTTGGCGAGCTGATACAAGTACTTATTCACGAAGGAGTTGCCCGCGTTCATGACGATCCAGTCATTTTCTTGCCAGTCGGAGACGTAGTTGTGGAAAAGCTGGTACGCTGTGCAGGGGTTGGTGGAGATGGTCGATGCCTCGTCCATGGAAATGTTATTTTCCCCATCGCTCAGCACCACGATGAGTGGGTCAGGGTTGTCCGGCGTGAGGGGCACGATGGCGTGTGATCTCCATGTGCCGAAACTGGTGAGTTTCAAGATAACCCAGTCCCCGACTTTGTACGAGGACACATCTTGCCCGACGGCCACAACGCAGAAACAGCCTTCGTTGCCACCAACAGCAACCTTCTTCTCGGTGCTGTCCTGGCCCAAGTGCTGGAAATTGATTGGTGTTTTATATGAGCCGGCCACCTGGAGCCGGTCCGAGGGGTTTACAGGCACTCCCAACGCAGCAATTAATACCTCATTTTCTGCTAGTTTTGCTGCGTCGATCGTCGAAGTGGCATTGAACAAGGCCTTGGAAAGGTCGGGGTTTGTTTCGGTGAAAGCAGCGGCGGAAACGTGGTACATTCTAGATATTTTAGATTTCCGGCTTCGGTTGCTATGAACTGTTGAGTGACGGTACTTGTGCCGGCCCAGCCGAGTGCGCAGCGAGGGCGGGGGTATTTATGGCAGCCCCGTCATTAGTAATCATAGCCACAGCACGCAATCCGATCATTGATAATTTCGAAGGTAACTCTGTCGGGCGCGAAACAAAAGTATCTTGGACAATAGAATGTTAGATAGATCAAGCAATCGAAACAGGATTGTACACCTATTACAACAAGCACTACCCAGGTGGTGCAAAATTCAGCAAGTACAAATTTTCAGTTTCTTCATATTGTCAAATTCAGACACAATGCCGCAGCAAGAAATATGTCATTTAAAGTGTCCAGGCTGTTTCTTGAGATAGGATGAAGTCTGGGGTATTCTATCACCTCTTCGGTTCTCCTCGGCGATATGTCACCGCCGCCTTCGCGAAGCCTTTCAAAATTTGACGTCATCCTCCATAGTAATTTTTACTCGCTTTTGGGGCCCACACAATTGCTAGAAACAAAACGGTAATATTTCAGAGCCATTCTCTAGAGCTAGCCCAAAAAACGTGCCACCGGTGGTATCCTGGTCTGGGGGCTGGGACTAGATCTTGGCATATTTCACTCTATCCATGCATCGAAGGTTTGGCGCGCAAACCGTTCTGCAGAAATAAACGCTTCCAGAATTGAAGGACCTTCCTCACCTGTGGCTAACAGCATTGGATTTGAAGACAAGATATTTCTGTAGGCTTTAGCCTCAGTTCTCGAATCACCCGAAGGATTCATTTGAAACAGAACTGATTATTGCCGATCGAACTACGAGGCAGGACAGAATTAGAGAGTCGCTGCAATACAGCTCCAGGGTCTACAGCGGCTGATGAAAATTCGATGTTCCAGCCCCTACCCTCATTGGAATTGAAAGAATGCTACTTGTACCGATATGAATAAAAAATCTAGAAATCTGCCGTGAGCGATAATTGCAAAGCAGTCGAGGATAGGCTTCATGGCACTGACTATGCTGGGGAGTTCACACAAAGAGTGCACCGCTCTTGTAGACAAAGAATATTGTCACCACTCGGGGGTTGATGGTGGACATGCCGCGATTGGAAGACCGGGGACTTTTTGAATCAATCTCCCAATCATTGCCTTCCACACGGAGACTGCTTCAGTTCGTGTTTGGAATGGAAATACAACGATCCATCGTCTATTTCAAACCCGCATAGCTAGCTGCCAGGAAGTCAAAGAGTCTCCGAAAAAAGACATCCGATATCCTCACTGATTCCCAGCAGTTGGGCACTCACAATGCCATCGCCCAGACAGCAGCACCAATGCAGTAAAGAGGCCCGGCCAAAATCTTGAGCAGCCCAAAAGTACAGGGGTGGCACGATTTGGCTTTTAATCCAGACGGGGGCTCCATCCCGAGCGGATAAGCCAATATATACAGCACGTGTGCCTCTGGCCCAGAGGGGTTGAAACGCCTTGAGTACGCTACGTTATTTATAGCCTACTTTACAGGCTCGGCAAAGCGAGCAGCCCCGTTTACCCATGATCCGAAGAGGCGCGTTCGGCATACGGGCGGAGCGCGCGTCGGCGGGACGCCCGAGCTGTTGACGGTTGCACCGAATGCGGCAAAAACGTCATAGTCGCAAAAAAAGCCACGGCCCGTGCCTTTCTGCACCTCCGAAAACCAATGAGGCCACGGGTTGCCAGAGAAGTTTCTGTCTACGTCATCCAGTTATCTGTGCCTGGAGACAAATATAGAACCGAGTCTGTATTTTAGGAAAGCCAGCGCCCTCCTGAGACCAGACCTCCTTTTGAGACACTCTTTCCCATCTGCTCGCCATGGGCCTCATCGCCAAATTGAGACATCACGATCATGACCGTCGTCGATCGTTTCAGGCGCCGTCTCCTTCGCACACCAAGGCGTCCGATTCCGTGTCTCTGACAGCCAGTGAGTTTCTGCATGCATCGTTCTCGTCTGTCTCGTCACAAAGCTCGGCAGGCCGGAACGCAGAGCCGGTATCCAAAGGCAAAGCGATCCCAAAAGCCGGCGCCACGGCCGCTCAGCGGCACAGCATGCCGGTCTTTTCCGGCCAGCAGCACAGAAGCGGCCAGCAGCAGAAATACGACGGGCGTATGCACGGCCCGAGCACGGCGGCGCTGCTGCATGGGCAGGGTGCGCTGGCCCAGAACATGGCACCCGTCTATCCGATAAATGGCCATTCCAGCTATTCTCACGGAAAAGCGGATCTGCCGGCAAGTGTGGGCCCGGTCACGCAGGAAAACCAGGTGTATTTGGCGAGGTCCCCTGGTGCACGGCACCAGGCACAGCTGCAGGCATACAGAGACCCGGCGGATGGAGAAAACCCGCAACGAGATTTCCGGGGGGCCCCGGCGCAGATTTTGTGTGGAGAGGAGCATGCCGCTGATTTGAGGAGCTCACGTGTCCAGGCCACTCCTGGGGAGGGAGGCCCGGGTGCAGACTCGACGCAGGCAACTACAGCCAGAGGAATGGGAAGTCCAGATAATGCCCGAGAAATTGGATACCCAGATAATGCCCGAGAAATTGGATATCCAGATACCGCCACGAGCCTGAAAACTCCAGTGGCTGAAGGAGATTGCAGCGGCCCGGCAGCTCTCGGCAGCCCAGCCGAACTGGCCGTTCCAAAAGACCCGGGTGCCCCAGCTGGTTCAAGCAGCACACCCAAACACGCTGCCGAGGCTCTCCACAGCCTTCCAAACAGGCGGCCCCATCCTGCCACTCCAGACGCAGCCCGCCAAAACACGCTCCATCAAAACACACAGCACTCCCAAAGCACACAAAGCTTCCAAAACACACAAAGCTTCCAAAACACACAGCACCTCGAGAACCGGCACGAGCACCCGGCTCGCGGAGTCTCCGCCGCCCGCCCCCTCCAGGCCTCGCAGACATACCGCCACAGCATGTACGCCGAACTCCCGCGCCGCATCACGGACCCGGCCGGCACGGTTCCGGCCCGCCAGCCGACCCGCAGCTTCTCGCCAGGGTCGATATCCGAGGGCTCGGCAGAAGACTCGGAACTCACGCTGGATAGCGAGTCCGACGCCAGCATGGACCTCGCCCGCAGCCACCCCTACTATGAGCAGTGGCGCCAGTACTTCCGGGCGCTCGAGCTCCAAAAACGGCAGCAGTCCCGGCCGCCTCCGGCCGCCCCGGGGCCCCGGCCCGCCCCCAGCGAGCGCTTCTACAGCAGCGTGCATCTGGCCGTGCCCCGGAACGGGCTCGTGGCCAATTCCCGGCGGTCCACGCTCAAATCCAGCCGCTCGGCGTCCGTGCCACTGGAGGAGCTCGGCAGGCCCGAGGCCCGGGCGCGGGCCATCTCTCAGAGCGGCACGCAGTCCGGGCCGGTGTCATTGGACGGCGCCGTTTCGGGCCTGAGCCCGGACCTGAGCTTCGAGGACGCCGACGTGCGGCTCTGCCAGGACCCGCCACGGCCGCGGCAGATCTCCACGGCGCTGGTGGTTTCGCGGTTGCGGCAGCTTTCGATGGCCAACGACGGCAGCGACCAGATCTCCGACTACGGCGCGTTTGTGTTGAGCGACGAGAGTGACGCGGACGTCACGATGGAGGCCAGCGTGCTGGCTGGCCGTGGTCCGGGGGATGTCCAAAATTCTGACGATTTCCAGACCCCAGACCATGTCCAAAACTCTGACAATGTCCAGACCACAGACAACGGCCAAAACTCTTACAATGTCCAAACCACAGACAACGGCCAAAACTCTGACAATGTCCAGACCACAGACAACGTCCAACACTCTGATAATGTTCAAACCACAGACAACGCCCACACCCCCGCCCATGCCAAGACCCTATTTGGTCCCCAGGCACCACAGAGCTCCGCCCGCGAGCCCAGCGGATCGTCGGATTTCCACAGTGTGCTCGACTTGTACCAGAACCCCGGGACGCCGGACCCCGATGCTGCTGCCGGGCCTGCAGACGTGCACAGGAACAAGTCGTCGGCCTCGGCGTCGTCCTTCGGCCTGCTCCAGAGCGAAAAGCACTTCAACGTGGGCCCCAGTTTGCGGCGCGTGGCCACGCCGGTGCGCCGGACAGGGCCCGCAGAACACCGCCGCTCGCTGCTGGTGAAACGATTCGCCCCGCCCATGGCCGGCCCGCCGCCGCCACTTGTTCCCACGCCGCCTGCCGCCACCAAGGCTGATTTCCAGGCGCAGCAACATTTGTCCAACTTCAAGCGCCAGAGCACGGGCAGTCTTCCCATGAGCGACATGTATATGCAACAGATCCAGCAGCAGCTCCAGCAGCTCCAGCAACTCCAGCAGCTCCAGCAACTCCAGCAGCTCCAACACTCACAACAGCAGTTCCCCCAGGAGTTCCAAGCCCCTCAGCAGCAGTTTCCCCAGGAGTTCCAAGCCCCACAGCAGCTATACCTGCAGGGCTTCCAGAACACCCCAAACAGGCCGCCCGCCACCAGCTTCGCCGCGTACGGCAGCACGCCCAAACCAGCGCCGCGGTCGTCCGACGCGTTCATCTCCAGAAAAATCGACGAGTTCGTCCAGTTGCGTGCGCTCATCGCCGCAGGCAACAAGTCCTTCGAGTACCGCCTCAAGTGGGTGCACATGTTGGTGGCCGCCACCAACAACCGGCTCTTTGCCTACGTCAACATCAAGGGCGAGGCCGTGCCGCCCGACCGCGTGCTGGAAAACAAGCTGCACTTCATCCGCACCTGCGTCAGCCACCTCCACAAGCTCCTCAAGGAATTGGCCCGCAGCGAGCGCCACGGCGCCAAGAGGCTCTACGCCGAGGCCTGCTACATCCAGGGCTGCTTCCACCTGCACGCCTACATGGACCGCTACGGCCAGGACTTTGGCCACGACTTCGACGCGCCTGAGGCCGAGTTTTTCTTCGCCGCGTGCTTGGACTCCAACCCGGCGTACTTCCGCGCCTACTACGAGATGGGCGAGCTCTGCGAGCTGCTGCAGGAAGATGCCCAGTTCGACCAGGCCATGCAGCACTACACCGAGTCCGCCAAGATGGGCTACAACCGCGCCATCTACAAGGTGGCCTTGGTGCAGTTGCTCGTGCCGCACAAGCGCCTGCCGCGCTTCCTCCACTACTTCAAGAAGTTGGCGGAAATCGACATGGACTCCAGCGACGTCCAGCTCAGCGGCGCAGACCGCGACGAGCTCGAGGAGATCGTGGGCTTGGCGCTGTTCCAGCTCGCCAAGATCTACGAGGGCATCTACCCGGGCGACTTGCAGGCGGACGATGCGTTCGTGCAAGCATGCTTGGAATCGGCGCCCGTGACCTACTCCCGCAGTCTCGCGTACTACAACCGGGCCGCCAAGCTTTCGTGCGTGCAAGCCCAGGTGCGGCTAGCCAAGGTGTACGAGGACGCGGAGTTGGACCGCGAGTACAACCCGAAGAAGTCCATCCAGTGGTACATGCGGGCGTCGTCGTCGCCGTTGAAGTTCCGGCGCCACCCCGAGGCCATGCTTGGCTTGAGTCGCTGGTTGATGAAGGGCTCGGCGGGCGCCAGCAAGCACATCCCGTATCCGGACCCGGAGCGGGCCGTGCAATGGTGCCAGAGGGCGTGCAAGGAATTCGCGTACCCGGAGGCCTTCTTCCAGATGGGCTTGTTGGTGGAGCAGGGGTATGCGGCCGGGGACCCCAGGACATGGTTCGAGCAGGCCGAGGCTGCGGGCCACGCTGCGGCCAGCGAGCGTTTGGCTTGAGCTCACAGTTTCATCAAACGACGGATTTTGATCAAGACTATGACTGGAGGCTGAATCCTCAGAGAGACGTGAATGGCCGAGCCCAAAAGACACTCATTGTCCGAATTATCACTGCCGCCTCAGCCTTTGTCTGCGTACTCCCTTACGCCTGCTTTCTCAAGAAAGGGCAAGATTCGGCCTGAATTGATGTCGCGTTGACTCCTCTGGTTTGCACATGGCCATACTGGATGCCACTGTCGATGAACTGGCTGAAACGTCTTCACGTCTCGCTCTTCTTGCTGCCCCGGATACCCAAGACGGTGTGATTTACTTCTCTTTTGGACCTTGTCTTTGTCTCGACTATCGCCTAATGTACAAGACACTCCTGGAATTGGAACCCAGTTGATGATGTTTTAGATCTGGCAAACTTCAAAAGAGCTCTTTGATCTAGCGGGCTCTTTGCCTGGGATGGGTGATCTGGGAACCTATCCAGTAGCGTCTCTATGGCTCACCACATGAAACCAAGTCATATTACTAAGACATAGACCAAATCGTTCATCGGACGACAGGTCGAAGTCAACTTGAAACCATCTCTGATATATTATGGAGGAAATCATGAAAGCCCCGCCCAGAGTAAGTAATACATGTAATCCACTAGATGTGTGATACTTTGCAGGACCAGCAGTTAATTTTATCTGAATTCCTGACTTATCTCCTTTGATAGATTTTGAGATATCAGCAGTAAGTGTTTTGGTAAAACAATGAGATGAGTGAGCTTGGATATTTTCTAAACTACCAAGAACACATATGATATATAGCTGAACCTTCACCTTCACGTGATTTGCTGCAGGCGACTACTCTGACTACTAGATGATAAAACACATGTGTATTTATGATAAACACATGACTATATCATTTATGATGTAAATTGATATTCTAAGAGATGGCCAGATGTATTAGCACTTGTAAGTGACAGCAAAATATACAGAAATGATTCCTTTTGTTGAATCTCTATACCCCGAGAGTCGTTTGAGAGCGGTCCATGGTTTGGATTACAGCCGAGATAAATCTACCCGTTCGAGATAGAATGATATTTGCTCCACTGTTTTGACGGGTTATTATGATAGCTCACATCATAATACAAGCCCGACTTTACTCTCATCATTCCAATATTCAATATGTGCACACACCTCTACTAGGCCTAACCTGAAGAACAAAACTGCGTTTTGCAATTACGTAGTACAATTAGGTCACACACAATAATTTGGAAGTATACAACGGACTTATGGAATTTCATGATCATTACGATTCGATGGACTTATGAATTTTAGGGAGATATATGAATCCATGGCCATAAAATGCTCTAACGAGAATAAGCACATACAGGGTCATATGCAAATTCATGGATTTTACAATTCCACAGTCATACACAATTATAAAGTCATTCACAAATTTACGGACGTGTGCAATTCCACGATCATACACAATGTCGTGATCAAATTCAAATATGTGACAATGCACAAATACACGGTCATCAACTCCACGGTCATGTTCAAATATAGTCACGTACAACTATATGAGAATATACAAGTCCAAGGTCACATACAATTATATGGTCAGATACAATCATATAGTCATATACAACTATAAGTCACATACAATCATATAGTCAGATACAATTATATAGTCAGATACAATCATGTAGTCATATACAATCATATAGTCAGATACAATCATATAGTCAGAAACAATTATATAGTCACATACAACTATAAGTCCCATTCAACTATAAGTCCCATTCAACTATAAGTCCCATTCAACTATAAGTCACATACAACTATAAGCCACATACAATTATCTAGTAACATACAATTATATAGTCATATACAACTATATGTCACATACAATTATAAGTGACATACAACTATATGTCACATACAACTATAAGCCACATACAACTATATGGAAATACACAATTCCACGGTCATACACAATTTCCTGAAATCTACAATTCCACGGCCCATTGCACAAAACTCCAGCCCACACCTCCCATCCCTCGCCCAGCTCGCCCAGATATCTGGCCCTAATAACTCGCACGGCTGCGAAATAGCACGCAGCAATATCGGCCCTAGGACCCAGCACTTGCCGCGGCGAAAATTGATGAGGCCTGCGCACCAAAAATTTTCAACGCGATAGAGCCAGGCTTGTCCAGTCTCTTGTACCAGCGCCTAACTCACATCGAAATGTCGAAAAACACGCAATTTTTTTGTACGTACTTGCCCACGGGCGGCCGTGGCAGCTGTTCCAGCCGGAGCAGGGCCCGGTCCATTTCTTTTTTCCCGTGTTTGGCGGGAACCCACGCGTTTAGCCGCCGGCGTGCCGATAACTACGCCGGTCCGTTTGGCAGCTTCTTTTTGTAGGATCCAGCCCTGCTCGGTGCTGTCAAAAGACGGGTTAGTCGTGCCCGCTGTGGCCGGCGGCAGAGGAGCAGAAAAAAAAGAAAAACAAAACATGCCTGTTTTCTCTGGGTTTGGGCGATCTTTGTGCTTTGTTCCAGGACGGCAAACTACAGTCAGCCAGGGGCCGCCAGCCCCGTGTCTATCTAATATAAACTCAGAACTAAAAGAGAAAATGATAGAGAAGAAAGAGCGGGATAGAGACACTATGCTGGATGGCCCGAACAGTCGGATGGCCAGACCTAAAACGATCTGAATGAACCAAAACTACCAGAGTGATCAGAACCAAACCTGCCAGAGTGATCAGAACCAAACCTACCAGAGTGATCAGAACCAAACCTACCAGAGTGATCAGAACCAAACCTACCAGAGTGATCAGAACCAAAACTTCCAGAGTGACCAGAATAAAAACTACCAGAGCTGCCAGAACCAAAATCACCTGAATGACCAGAACGACCCGAATGGCCAGATTGAAACAGCCAGCAGACTGCCCCCGCCAACGCCCGCCACATAGCCCACCCCTACTAACACGCAGGTCGCCAGCCCAAGTCGATAGACTTGCTCCAGGATTTCGAGGAAATCACCTCGTTCCCCAAGCCACAGCTTGAGGTGCGCTGCGCCCAGTACAGCGCCAACGGCCAGTACTTTGCCTACACGCAGCCGACGCACGTGACCGTGGTTTCGACGCTAGACGGCGCCAGCAACGACCAGGTGGTTGCGCAGATCGACGTCAAGGAGACGTTTGACATGTGCTTCTCGCCCGACGGGCGCTACCTCACGCTCTGGACCCGCCCGCTCTTGCTCGACCGCGAGAGCGGCGTGTGGCTGGAAAACGTGCTCGTGTACGACGTGGAGTCGCAGGCCGTGCTCACGAAATGGTCCAACAAACAGCAAGGAGGGTGGCAGCCGCAGTTCACGCAGGACGGCAGCGTGATGGCCAAGAACTTCAACAACCGCGAGATCCACTTCTACGAGTTGTCCGCGGCCTTGGACATCCGCAAGCCCTCGTACAAGTTTCGCTTGCAGGACTCCGGCGCCACGTTCCAGAACTTCCGCTTGAGCCCCGGCTTGAACCCCTCCGTGGCGGTGTTCATCCCGGAGAAGGGCGGCAAGCCCGCGGAGGTGCTCATCTACAACATCCCCAACTTCAACCAGCCCGTCTGCTCCAAGCTGTTCTTCAAGGCCGAGAAGTGCCAGTTGCAGTGGAACGCCTTGGGCACCGCGTTGCTCGCGTTGGCGTCCACGGACCACGACTCCAGCAACAAGTCCTACTACGGCGAGACCAACTTGTACTTGTTGGGCATTGCCGGCTCCTACGAGCGCATCGACTTGAAGCGCGAGGGCCCCATCCACGACATCACGTGGTCGCCGTCCGCCCGTGAGTTTGCCGTGTCCTACGGCTACATGCCCTCGGAAACCACCTTCTTCGACGCCCGCGGCAACCTGATCTTCTCCTTGCCCACCTCGCCCCGCAACACCATCCTCTACTCGCCGCACGGCCGCTACGTGTTGGTGGCGGGCTTCGGCAACTTGCAGGGCACCGTCGATGTCTACGACCGCCAGAACAAGTTTGCCAAGGTGTGCACCTTCGAGGCCTCCAACACCTCCGTGTGTGAGTGGTCGCCCTGCGGCCGCTACATCTTGACGGCCACCACGTCGCCCCGCTTGCGTGTGGACAACGGCTTGAAGGTGTGGTACGCCGACGGCACCTTGTTGTACTACCGCGAGTATCCGGAATTGTTTTCCATCGCTTGGAAGCCACAGCCTATCAGCAAGTTCCCGGCGCTAAAACTGTTGGAGCCTTGCCCGCCGGCCCACCAGTCGGCCACCGAGTATCTTGCCAAAAAGGCGGCGCTGAGCGGCACGAGCACCGTGAAGAAGGTCGGTGCCTACCGTCCGCCCCACGCCAGGAACAGCGGCGCGTCCACGGCTCTGACCTCGCTCTACCAGAAGGAGTTGCAAAGCAACTTGGGCCCCAAGCCTGCGGGCGCCTACGTGCCCGGAAGAAGAGTCGTGCCGGGCGCACAGCCTGTGGAACCCAAAGAGAGCAAGAGCGCGGCCAAAAACAAGAAGAAAAGAGAGGGCAAGAATGCCGACGAGGCGTCGCCTACCCCCGAGCTGCCTGCGGTGGCGCAGGCACAAGACCAAGGCTCGGTCGTTGGAGGTGTAGTTTCGATGGAGGAGAAGAAGATCCGCGCCTTGTTGAAAAAGCTCAGGGCTATCGAGGCCTTGAAAATGAGACAGGCGGGCGGCGAACAGTTGGAGGAGACACAGATCAACAAGATCAACAAGGAGGACGAAATCAGACAGGAGTTGGGCTTCTTGGGCTGGTCTGAATAGAGATATCACCAAATACATTTTCCGTTCTGGGCGCATCGATTGGGTGTAGAATCCACGGGGTTGGGCATGCCACCAGTATCGGCGGCGAGACTCAGGGTCTCTACAATGACATAGTCGTCAATTTTACCTTGTTTCAAGAGGCGTTTTTCCTGTCGCTGGGTTTCTCTACGAAACATTAATATATCTACACTTGAAACAAAACATCATACACCAAATAAGCTTATAAAGCGCTGTCTTGCTTGATGTCGAGAGAGAGTACTGCTTGAAATATAGGCCTGTGTATTTGGGGTTTGACCAGTCCTGACCATCTGCACATACAAGTATAGACAAGAACAACAAGTAAAGACGAATAAAAAAAAAGACAAGTACAGAATAAGCCAAGTACAACAAATATAACAAGTATAACAAGTACAGCAGAACAGACAAATACAGATAAATACAGACAAATACAGACAAATACAGACAAATACAGACAAATGCAGACAAGTGTCCAGAGCCCGCGAACCGAGGCTCAAACCCAAGGCTCCATGCTATCCTGTTTCGTCAGTCGCATCACTAGGGTGTGCGATACCTGCTTGTCCAGTTGCAGGATTGGAATATCAGATCAGCGACCCATACATGCAGGGCTCGACCATACCAAACCAGAACATGGTGGCAAGGTACCGGAGTATGCAATACCGGTCTAAAACTACAGCTCCAAAAAAAAACGTCCGCCGATCCGAAGCGTAAAAATCATCCCGCGGCCCAACTCCTCGGCACCCCATGGCGTGCTGCCAATATATACTTCATTTATAGAGATCAAACCTTATCGGACCACACCAAACTCAATTTCTCGGCCTGGCAACAATGCCGCGAATTTTCGAGGCAAGGCTTGGTTCCGCTCTTTTTTTTTTTGGGCCAGGGGCGTGCTTCAAATCGGGGTCGTGCGCGCCTCGCGAACGATCCGATGCCAGTGTTAAGAGCGCACCCCTGTGAATCCGGTTTCACCTCTTCTTCCTTACGTCGCTGTCAGTTATCGAAAGGTACGTAAACCCAATGGACACCTCCATATTTTTGTCGAAATCAAGCCAGCTTCCCCCGGCCGCCCTGCCACGAATCGCCGAAGCAGAACCACAAACTCCGCCAGGATCCGAACCGGTGCTTGCCGCCCTGTGTCCAAAAATAGACATTTCTCACTCAGATCGCTGGGTCCTTCGTGCGCCCCACAGAAAAGCAGATATTTGGTCGTGCGCTTGGCTTTGTGTTTGTGGCCCCAGCCGCGGAGCCTGTTTCTACTTTTTTGGCACTCCAAGAATCTTGGCCCCACCAGTCTTTTCGCTCGGATCGGCCTCGCGATCACTGGACCGGGCTAGGAGCGCTTCACCGCGGCCGCCTCTCTGCGCCTCTGCACGTGACGCGACTCCCGTATGCCTCTGCTTCCAAAACGGCCACTTCTGATTTCCTATGCGCAGGCAGGCAGATCCCTGCACGGCATCTTTCGGACGCGCGCCGCGGTCTCGCCTCTTGGTTGCTATACCGCCCAGGGCGTGTCACGTGTACGCGGGTGTTTCTTTTTTACGTGCGCGTGTGTTTGAGCGCGCCCCGTACAGGACCTCGGGCGCAGCACTGGACTCCCCCGGCAACGAGCGGCGCTCAGAAGTAATGCCTACAGACGGCGGTGGCTCCTCGTTCGTGAAGCTTTTGCGGGAGGCTGCCGCCTTCAAGTTCTGAGATGCATAGCCGGGTCAGGGCGATGTCCAGAACCCGGCAACCATTCCGAAGATCTCACCGCTGATCGCTGCCGCCTGCACATGGGCTCTGGCTGTGCTATGTCCACTCCCATGCCAAGCTCCGGAGGCCCTCCCTCAAGGAATTCTATTTATGGTGATATTTTTTCAGTGCCAAACACTTCTGGAGATCAAGGGTGAGGTAACACACGCGGATCCAAGCTTTCCCCACTCTATATAAGGAATCCTTGTCAGATCTCGCGGTATCAATCTTCCACATTTTGCCTCTTCAGAACGGAAGTCCAGCGCATTTGCTCTGCCTCCCAAAACTTTCTTGTCGCACCGGGCCACTGCCTTTATTTTTTCGGTCTTCGCATTGCACACATTCCGCAAACACGCCAACTCCAAGAAGCTTCAGCTTGATTTTGTTGCCTCGGCAATTTATCATTACTAACTAGTTTGTCTAGATGTCTTACGATAACAATAACAATTATTATGACCCGAACCAACAGCAGCCAGCTGAAGGGGAGGGTTATTACCAGCAGGGGCCCTACGATGAAATGGGACAGCCTGTTCAGTACCAAGAAGGCGGCGAGTACTTCGACCAGGGCCAACAGTATCAACAGCAGCCGTATGATGATGGTTACCAGAATTATGAGCAGGCTAATGCTGGATATTCGGCTGATCCTGAAGCGTTTTCTGATTTCAGCTACGGAGGCCAGAATCCTGGCACGCCGGGCTACGACTCGTATGGCACTCAATACACACCTTCGCAAATGAGTTACGGTGGTGCCAGATCCTCTGGTGCTTCCACGCCGATCTATGGTGCGAATCCCAACTACGATCCGACTCAGTTCCAGTTGTCCTCAAACTTGCCTTTCCCAGCTTGGTCTGCTGATCCTCAAGCTCCTATCAAAATTGAGCACATCGAAGATATCTTCATTGACTTGACGAACAAGTTTGGTTTTCAAAGAGACTCCATGAGAAACATGTTTGACTACTTCATGACTTTGTTGGACTCCAGATCTTCGAGAATGTCTCCGGCCCAAGCTTTGTTGTCCTTGCACGCCGACTACATCGGCGGTGACAACGCCAATTACAAGAAGTGGTTCTTTGCGTCCCAACAAGATTTGGATGACTCCATTGGTTTTGCTAATATGGATTTGGGCAAAATTGGAAAAAAAGCTAGAAAGGCCTCCAAAAAATCCAAGAAAGCCAGAGCTGCCGCAGAAGAACATGGCCAAGATTTGAATGCTTTGGCTTCTGAGTTGGAAGGAGACTACTCTTTGGACGCTGCTGAAATTAAGTGGAAGGCGAAGATGAACGTTTTGACTCCAGAGGAGAGAGTAAGAGACATTGCTCTTTACTTATTGTTGTGGGGTGAGGCAAATCAAGTTCGTTTCACTTCTGAGTGTCTTTGTTACATTTACAAAATGGCCATGGACTACTTGTTGTCTCCGCAATGTCAGCAGAGACAAGAGCCTGTTCCCGAAGGTGACTACTTGAATCGGGTTATCACCCCCATCTACCGGTTCTTGAGATCTCAAGTCTACGAGATCTACGAAGGCAGATTTGTCAAGCGTGAGAAAGATCACAACAACGTCATTGGATACGACGATGTCAATCAGTTGTTCTGGTACCCAGAGGGAATTTCGAGAATCATCTTCACGGATGGAACCAGGTTGGTTGATCTTCCTCAGGAAGAAAGATTTCAGAGACTTGGTGAAGTCGAGTGGCAAAATGTCTTCTTCAAGACCTACAAGGAAATCAGAACATGGTTGCATTTCATCACCAATTTCAACAGAATTTGGGTTATTCACATTTGTATCTACTGGATGTACACTGCTTACAACGCTCCAACGTTGTATACTCAACACTACGTCCAGACCCTCAACAATCAGCCAACAGCATCTTCGCAATGGGCTGCTCCAGCGATTGGTGGTGTCATTGCATGCGTGATTCAAATATTTGCTACCTTTTTCGAGTGGATGTTTGTTCCAAGAGAGTGGGCTGGTGCCCAGAGACTCACACGCCGTTTGATGTTCTTGCTTTTGATCTTCCTTGTCAACCTTGCTCCTATTGTGTTCACGTTCTACTGGGCTGGTTTGAGTGCAATCTCCAAGACAGCACAAGTTTTGTCTATTGTTGGATTCTTTGTTGCCATCGCCACTTTACTTTTCTTCGCTGTTATGCCTTTAGGTGGTTTGTTTACGCCCTACCTCAACAAGAGCTCGCGCAAATATCTTGCCCAACAATTCTTCACTGCAAACTTCCACAAGTTGAAGGGTTTGGACATGTGGATGTCATATCTTCTTTGGTGTACGATTTTTGCCGCAAAGTTGACTGAGTCGTATTTCTTCTTGACATTGTCCTTGAGAGATCCCATCAGAAACTTATCGACAATGACTATGAGATGTAACGGTGACTACTGGTTTGGTGACAAGTTGTGCAAGCAACAAGCAAAAATTGTATTGGCGTTGATGATCCTTGTGGATATGTTGTTGTTCTTCTTGGATACATACATGTGGTACATTGTGTGCAACTGTGTGTTCTCTATTGGCCGTTCTTTCTACTTGGGCATTTCCATTTTGACTCCATGGAGAAACATTTTTACGAGATTGCCCAAGAGAATTTACTCTAAGATTTTGGCGACAACCGAGATGGAAATCAAATACAAACCTAAGGTTTTGATTTCTCAAGTCTGGAACGCTATCGTCATTTCTATGTACAGAGAACACTTGTTGGCTATCGATCACGTTCAAAAGTTGTTGTACCACCAAGTTCCATCAGAGATTGAGGGTAAGAGAACTTTGAGAGCACCAACTTTCTTCGTGTCTCAAGATGACAACAACTTTGAGACGGAGTTTTTCCCAAGAAACTCTGAAGCTGAAAGACGTATCTCTTTCTTTGCTCAATCCTTGGCCACGCCAATCTATGAACCATTGCCCGTTGACAACATGCCCACTTTCACTGTTTTCACTCCTCACTACGCCGAAAAGATTTTGTTGTCTTTGAAGGAAATTATCAGGGAAGATGATCAATTCTCCAGAGTCACTTTGTTGGAATACTTGAAACAGTTACACCCTGTTGAGTGGGATTGCTTTGTCAAAGATACCAAGATCTTGGCGGAGGAAACTGCAGCGTTTGAGAATGGTGAAGAGGAAGAGAGAGAAAATGAAGATGGTTTGAAGTCTAAGATCAACGACTTGCCATTCTACTGTATTGGTTTCAAGTCTGCTGCACCAGAGTACACATTAAGAACAAGAATTTGGGCATCCTTGAGATCTCAAACTTTGTACCGTACTGTTTCTGGTTTCATGAACTATGCAAGAGCAATCAAATTGTTATACCGTGTTGAAAACCCCGAATTGGTTCAATATTTTGGTGGTGATCCCGAAGGTTTAGAGATGGCTTTGGAGAAAATGGCCAGAAGAAAATTCAAGTTTATTGTGTCCATGCAGAGATTGTCCAAGTTTAAAGAGGACGAGATGGAAAATGCTGAGTTTTTGTTGAGAGCCTACCCTGATTTGCAAATTGCCTTCTTGGATGAAGAACCACCTTTGAACGAAGATGAAGAGCCTCGTGTTTTCTCTGCTTTGATTGATGGTCATTGTGAAGTTTTGGAAAATGGTACACGTCGCCCTAAGTTTAGAGTTCAATTGTCTGGTAATCCAATCTTGGGTGATGGTAAATCTGATAACCAAAATCATTCTGTCATTTTCCACAGAGGTGAATATATCCAGTTGATTGATGCGAATCAAGACAACTATCTTGAGGAGTGTTTAAAAATCAGATCTGTTTTGGCTGAGTTTGAGGAATTGAACGTGGAACACGTCAACCCTTACGCTCCGGACTTGAGAAAAGATGACGAAGAACAACCCGCTCCAGTCGCCATCTTAGGTGCGAGAGAGTACATTTTCTCTGAAAACTCCGGTGTTTTGGGTGATGTTGCTGCTGGTAAGGAACAAACTTTTGGTACTTTGTTTGCTAGAACTTTGGCGCAAGTTGGTGGCAAATTGCATTATGGTCACCCTGATTTCTTGAACGCAACATTCATGTTAACGAGAGGAGGTGTTTCTAAGGCCCAGAAGGGATTACACTTGAACGAAGATATCTATGCTGGTATGAACGCAATGTTGAGAGGTGGAAGAATCAAGCACTGTGAGTACTACCAATGTGGTAAGGGTAGAGATATGGGGTTCGGCTCCATTTGTAACTTTACGACAAAGATTGGTGCTGGTATGGGTGAGCAAATGTTGTCAAGAGAATACTACTACTTGTCAACCCAATTGCCTTTGGACAGATTTTTGTCCTTCTACTACGGTCACCCTGGTTTCCACATTAACAACTTGTTCATTCAATTGTCTTTGCAAACTTTCATGTTGGTTTTGGCAAACTTGAACTCATTGGCACACGAATCGATCTTGTGTGATTACGACAAAAACGTTCCCGTCACCGATGTTTTGGAACCTTATGGTTGTTACAACTTGGACCCTGCAGTGGATTGGATCAGACGTTATACATTGTCTATTTTCATTGTTTTCTTCATCTCGTTCATTCCTTTGGCTGTTCAAGAATTGATTGAAAGAGGTCTTTGGAAGGCTACTCAGAGATTTGCTAGACATTTTGTCTCGTTGTCTCCGTTGTTCGAAGTTTTCGTTGCTCAAATCTATTCCACGTCATTGATTACTGATTTGACTGTTGGAGGTGCCAGGTACATTTCTACCGGAAGAGGTTTTGCTACTTCGCGTATTCCATTCTCCATTTTGTTTTCCAGATTTGCGGACTCCTCAATTTACATGGGTGCTAGATCCATGTTGATTATTTTGTTTGGTTCTGTTGCACACTGGCAAGCTCCTTTGTTGTGGTTCTGGGCGTCTTTATCTGCTTTGATGTTTTCCCCGTTCGTGTTCAACCCACATCAGTTCGCATGGGAAGACTTCTTCCTTGACTACCGTGACTTTATCAGATGGCTCTCGCGTGGTAACACTAAGTGGCACAGAAACTCTTGGATTGGGTATGTCAAGCTTTCCAGATCGAGAATCACTGGTTTCAAGAGAAAATTGACCGGTGACATCTCGGAGAAGGGCGCAGGTGACGCTTCCAGAGCTCACAGAGCCAACATCTTATTTGCTGACTTCCTTCCTTGTGTGTTTTACACTGCTGCTTTGTTTGTCGCTTACACTTTCATCAACGCCCAAACTGGTGTCACTGAGTGGTCAGTCTCAGGAAGAGACTCCACTGATCCTATCACGGTCAATTCCACTGTCAGAATCATTATTTGCGCTTTGGCCCCTGTTCTCATTGACATGGGCTGCTTGGCTGTGTGTCTCGGTTTGGCTTGTTGTGCGGGTCCAATGTTGGGCTTGTGCTGCAAGAAGACTGGTGCTGTTATCGCTGGAGTTGCACATGGTGTTGCAGTTATTGTGCACTTGGTCTTCTTCATTGTTATCTGGGTCTTGGAGAGTTTCAACTTCGCGAGAGTGTTGTTGGGCGTTATCACGATGATTTACATCCAAAGAACCTTGTTCAAGTTGATGACCTTGTTGTTCTTGACCAGAGAGTTCAAGCACGATAAGTCGAACACTGCATTCTGGACCGGAAAATGGTACGGAAGTGGTATGGGCTACATGGCCTTCACCCAGCCCGCCAGAGAATTCTGTGCTAAGACTATTGAGATGTCTGAATTTGCAGGTGACTTTATCTTGGCTCACTTGATCTTGTTTGTGCAGTTGCCTGTCTTGTTCGTTCCGTTGATTGACAGATGGCACTCCACCATGTTGTTCTGGTTGAAGCCTTCCAGGCTTATCAGACCTCCAATCTTTTCTTTGAAACAAGCCAAGTTGAGAAAGAGAATGGTGAGAAAGTACTGTACTTTGTACTTTGTGGTGTTGGTCCTCTTTGTCATCATCATTGCTGCCCCAGCCATCGCCTCCAGTCACGTCCCATCTGATCTTGGAACCTCGTTGATCGGTGCCTTCCAAGGTGTGTTCCAGCCTAGAGGCACCCATATCAATGACACCGGTGCCGTGTCGTCGTGGTGGAGCTCTGATGGTGTGCTGATCACCTTCTGGTCTTTCACTCCAACAAACACTTGGACCTACACCACTAAGGCTTTCTAAGCTGCTATTTAGAATTTATCATTTAATCTTATACTCTACGTCGTACACTCGTCTGAGAATCAGGCCAACGGTACTTCTTCATCCTCTGGTGGAATTAGTCCATGGTTCTCAGGACTGAGGCCAACAACGAACGTTCCCTGGGCGCTGTCCAGGAATTCGATACAGTCACATCATACAACCATACTTATCTACGTTGAGTGAAATAAAACACATATTGCTGGAGCTTTTGGAGACTCTCGCAACCGGATAACTATACTTTGCTACCGTTTATTATGCGTACGAACTGGAGCATCTACCTGTGCTCGCGCCAGCTGTCGATATCGCCGGGTCTGCAGTCCCCGTCCCTTCCATTGACAGAACTCACTTCTTGATTAATGCTCCGCACTACACATCTCCAGCAACCTTCTGCAAGATCAGGTCGCACTCGGTGCTGGTGCCGCAGCTCGCCCATTGTACGACGAAATCCCCCGGAAAGTAGTGCATGTGGTCGGTGGCCTTGTCCTCCAGAGAGACAGTCTCAGCAAAGAACGAGTTGATGGTGCGCGCAGACACAATAGACGTTTTGCTCAACACGAACGGGTGCCACTGCAAGATGTGCGTGATGGCGGAGTCAGGCCCGTAGGGGAAGTTGTTGTATTCCAAGTAATGCCTGGCGCGCCAGGTCTCGATGGTGGCGCGGCCAATCTCGGAATTGCGCACGAGGAACGAGTTGGTCTCGATTTTGGTCTCGGACTGGGTGAAAATCAAGTCGACGTTCGCAGGCCGGAGGTTCTTGTAGGTCTTGATGAGACCTCTTGGTGGAATCACCGGCTGCTCCTTGAGGTTGGCGCCTCGCCACGCGTCTGGCGTCAACAAGTACGAGTAGAGGTCCACCTTCATGTTGGTGACGAGCCCGTCCTGGTCAAAGTACCAGAACCACTCTGCGTCGGGGAACGCGAACATGGCCGCACGGACGCAGAAAAGGCGGATCCACTTCGAGCGCTCCACATCGCCCAAAAAGTCCATCGAGTTTAGCTCGGGGACAAATTCCTGGGCCCACCGGACGTAGATCCCGTAGCCGTGCTCATGGGCATAGTTGACTCTGTTCTGCACGAGCTTGGCGAGCGAGGCTGTTGGGTACCGGTCGAAGTCGAGCGCCGTGACAATGACGATCTTCGGGCTCTTCTTGGCCAGTTTGGGCGAGAACACCACCTTGGCCTGGTTCTTGAAGTGATTGATGGCGCGCGCCTCGTTGGACGCCGCGTTCTCGTTGTCCTCTTTGATTTTCTGCTTGACCGGATCCGCGTCGTCGAGGGAGCTCAACGACTCCATGCGCAGCGGACGGCCGGCATCCTCGGGGGTGATGTGTATGAGGTTGGTGACGCCAATCTGACGCAACAAATCCGCGTCCTCGATCGGCGGGTATATGTAGGGCGACGCGGACGAAACCGTGTGTTTGCACCCGGGCGGAAGGCCGGGCGGGTATACCGGGTGATGGCGAGAAAAACTGGGGATCCAGCGGAGCGGCCTGAAAACCCAGAGGAAAAAAAGTGCAAACACCACGAGCCAAAGGCGGTTGGCACGCACGGCTTTGATTCGGTGGAAGCCGCCAGGCATGGGCAAGTGGCCGGCGGGGGCGGCGCCCGTGCTTTTGGGCCGAAATCTCATTCCATTCAACATGGAAGGGGAAGCTGGAGGGGTGCTGCGCAATTCACGGAGGTCTGCTGGGGCTGGCGCTCGATGGAAGTATTAGGAGTTTGGAGCTATAATTTTTTTGTTGTCTGTTCGCGCCTCACCGCAGGGTCTGTGCAGACCGCGCCAGGGCCACCAGTGGGTGTGGAGCCGCGCCGTCTAGAGGAACCAGGGCCACACCGAACAAGAAGCACACGGTTGATGAGCGGAAGAGAATATGCGCGGATCTGGCAGTAGGCCGCTGGTTGGCGCCTGGTTTGGTTCTGTTTTGTTTTTGTTTTTGTTTTGCTTTTGTTTTGTTTTCGTTTGTCTTCGGTGTTTTCCGTGTTTTCTCCTGGTGCTGGCTGATCGGTCTTCGCTCATTTTCGCGTGCTGGGACGGAGCGCCCGCTGGCCCTGCGGACCTGCTCTAGGGCCGGGCCCAAAGCCTACATCCCTTTTATTCCGCACTCTGGTACTCTTGCTCCGTCTGCTCTTTCCTCCGAATCTCTTTTCTGGGATTCTTGTTCTAGCAATTCTCACTCTTGTAGAACCGTTCTTCTGATTTTCCTTCGTCCATTTCTTCTTCTTCCATTTCTCCTTCTTTCATTTCTCCTTCTACCAATTCTCCTTCTTCCCTTCGCTGCTTTTGTTTCTCCACCTTCCATTCTCGCTCTTTCTAATCTCTCGGTTCCGTACAACGTCTTCATAACATATTCTAGCACCCTTTCTTCCAACTCATTTTAATTTGCAACTTCCAACATGGTGAAAGTGGAAGCAAGACTGGATCAGATAATATGTGAGACACCACCATGTTGAATTGGCTTGCAGACTGGAGAGCATGTTCTAGGGCAGCGGGCCTCGTCCAAACCACCGTTTCAAAACCGGCACAAGACGAAATATTGAGAACTGGCGGGTCAGAGCTTGAATAGCAGCATTCCTGGGGCTGGGATACCCGCCAAGAACGAATTGCACCGAATACTTATCCAGCGCCCTTTGAGCCAAGCCGAAAACATTGCTGAAAAGTGTTTCAGATCAGCCACCCGCACCTGAGATATGGAGACGGAGCTTGCGCAAATCCAAGCACGTTGCTTTCCTAACAGAAGGCCTGAGGAGATTGTGGTCCAGACGGATCTGAAATCTCATCGAACGACACGTCCAACAACAAGACCCGAAAAGTCCTCATCAGACATACGATGTATCAGAGCACGTAACTTAGTCGGCGCCCCGTCACAGCATCAGCACCATGGCTTACACTGATCAATTCTTCTCAACCAAGAGATCACCCGGGTCCTCCATTTGGCGCTTGATCACAAGAATTGTGGGAAAACAAACGCCATGAGCAGGGCAAGCAGGATCCTGCTCACCGGACTGTCAACACACAACGCTTAAAGCAGCCGAGCCCAAGCTCCACACACATCATGACTCCACATTTTCACTGGAAGCTCCGTCTCCGCGTCCAAAGATCCAAACCATCACACGCCAATCTATGCATGGCTGGTGCGGTCCTCGATCACCTGCAAAGCCACCTGTCTTCTCCTCTCCGCCACGGAATTGGCAAGCAGGTTATTGGCCTGGTTGACCAGCTCAGATAGCTTCTGCACCCTCATATTGCTCTGTTCCACCGCGTCGTCGTTGAATGGCGTGACAATGCCCAAAAGCACACACACGTCGTATATGCTATTGATGACTGGGCCCAAATACGGCTTGCACGCACTGGGAAAGAACTCGACAAGCTGGAACGCGTCCGAAGCATCGCCGCTCACAAAGTACGTGCTGCTGCTTTCGCCGCTGGCGCTTGTGATCGGGAGAAGCGGGTCCGCAAAAAACGACTGGTGGAACCTCAAGTAGTTATAGGCCACGAAAAACGAAAGCACCGACGGAAGAACAGGATACAAGGTGCGGGCGGCCGCCGACCACACCGACACGATGATGAGCAGCAAGAAAGGCAAGTGCTTGACGCGGAAGTTGACAAGGCCCTGGAACAACACCACGTTGTGCTCCGGAATGAGCTGCTTGAACACCACTAAAAAGCCAAAGTAGTAGGAGACGCCGCCTCCCAAAGGCTTATCCATGCCCAAAACGTCGCCACGGAAGATGTTGCTCACAATCGTGATCACCACCGTGGACAAGTTGGTGATGGCGCCCACAATGACAATGAATTTGAGCACCTCGCGGTGTCCCCAGAACTTCTCCACGTATCCCGTGGACACGTAGAGAACGCCAAACGCCAAAAGAAAAGAAATCACCGAGATCTCGGCGAAAATGGCCGTGACAAACACCCACGGATAGAAAATTGCGTAGCGCGGCACGAGCTGGATATAAGGTATGACAATGTCATGGAGCGCCCGTTGCTCATCCGGATTTTGCAAGTATTTGACCTTCACTATAAGAATGGTGACACTGGTCCAGAAAAGCGCCAAGGCCACGGCCCGGGTCAGTTTGGGCGTCGAGCGCCACAGAATTGCCACTGTCATTGTATGGTTTGGCGGAGCAAAAAATAGAATGTTTTTGTGATGCGCTCGGTGCAAATTGACTGTTTTTGCCGTGTGGATTCGTGTTTCCAGAGTCCTCAAAATGAGTGCACCAATGTCTCACGTGTTTGGTCGAAGGTGGCTCTGGTCCCGGATGTTTTTTAGCCAGGTGCGAAAAATGTCCGAGTCCACTCATGGCCCGCAGACTGGCATTTTCTACACCTCTCAATTTCAGCGCATTTCGGCAATAAGGTGGAGAAGAGTTTTTGCGCACAAATGTGATGGCTTGCTTTAGAACTTGTTTGCTGTGTTGTCGCTTCTGCCTTAGCTGAAGATTCTTTGGGTGGTGCATATAGCGATGTTGCCTGGCCCAACAAAGCCTTGCGCAAGCCCTATAGAAGTGCTTGAGTCATGAATTGTCTATTGAAAGGGCTTCCTTGTAATGGATGAGCTTTGGATCGGGAATGCTGTGATGTGGGCTTTTGTAACCATGCTCATCTGTGACTCCATTTTATTAGACAAAAACAATTCTGCAAATTAATTAAGTAACGCTTTGGGTGCGAAATGTTGGCAAAGTTGTAATAAATGGCTGAACCCGCTGCATATTTCATGTTTGAATAATATAACAAGGAACCCGTTCAAATTTTTTTGAATAGTTCCCTATACAAGCCCCCAGCAGATTTATCAAAGTTGATCTATTCTTTGTTCTACTCGAACCACTCGTAATGCCTATATCTCTCGGTATTCCCTCCCAACACCTTGAGTTCCCTTCAAATACCAAAAAAAATGCCGCAAATCCCCGAACTCTCGGTCATATTTATACTAACTGCTACGAAAGACTATTTTCACTTCGTATTCGCAATACGGCATGTGGCCATTTGGTAGACGCATTGCAAGAAGTGAATTGAAGGCTTTCTGATCGTCTCTATAGTCCAGCTTTTTCACGTAATCACATTTAGCAGTGTCGTATGCTATGGGCAAAGGACGCTGAAATTTATTTATTTTTATAGTTTTGGCCAATTTTGTTTTAAAATAAAGCAATACCATACCTACTTACATTTTAAAAGGACAACAACACAATAACGATAGCAATCCCGGCTTAACAGGGGATATAATAGAGTAATGTTGATGTTATATATACGCTTAAGGCTTTATAACTTGCTCAACTTCATTCTATCTAATCCAACACGTTACAGTGACACTATATTCTAAAACTCTATATATCAGCGGAATATTGAACTTTAAGAACAGAAACTTCTTGATTCAAAAGGACGAAGGCCATAAAAGCAAATTGATCATGCTATCAAATAGCACACATATACACAGCTAGAAACCACTCTTTAGTAACATAAGTTGTGTCTGTAACAATATTATGTGAAAAATGAACTGCAGAGATTACACTTCAAATAATATTTTGAGATTTAGACACAAACATGATTAAGTCTAATGTAAACAACATCAAAACGTATTGAAGGTTCTTTTTCAAATCAAAGACCTTTACTCTCTATTAAGCAGAAGCCATAAAGGATATTAGAAGATATAAAATAGCAGTAACCTCCATAATAAAAGAGCTTCTAAAAGGAATTCAACAATTCGAATATTTGATGGAAGTAACAATATGGTTAAAATACGAATACTTCTAACAGAGTCTTCAGTCACTGCGCCCATCATCTTGATTGAAAAGCATTCTAATCGTATCAGGTGTGTATAGAAAAATTTATAAGAATAATCAAACTTTTGCAAATGTGGTTCAGATCAAAATTCATGGCAAACGCAAATCTAGAAGTCGGCTAAAGAAACACTTTTGACCTCTTCTCGGATACGGGAAGGCAAATCCGAGCTTCCACCCATGAGAATGCTTCTGATTGTCTCCCAACGACGAATGATTTCGGCCATTGCCTGAGCGTTATATGGATTAGACGTGTTAACTGTGGGAATCACGTGTTGGATGTTAAAAAACACCACAAAAAACGAGAGTTCTCGGAACGACAGGTGTTCGCTGTACGTAATGGAGTATATCCGGTATGTCGTACTGTCGACCTTCCCAGCTCGCGTGTTCGGGTTCTGCTTGACCACATCAAGATGAGTGTACTCGGGTTGTTTTCGAAGAAGTAGTGCCGTGGACAGAAGTGACATTTCAGCATCGTCTATATTGACAGGCTCCTCGGCGTGTGGTTCTGTTTGGGCCAGACTAGCTGCTCCTTTCTCTGGTGTTTTGAAAGACCACCCAGTTGGCCGAAGACCAATGCATCTTTCGAAATGGCTGTGATATCCGTTGTGGTTGAAATACTTATGAAGCTCCAGGATATTGCCAGCAATTTTCATCGGCACAAGGTGGATCATCACGTCATGCTCGGAGGTGGGCACGGGGTCACATGTGAGCACAGAGTCAAGGTACTCGTCGTGGTAACTCCGCACAATGTGTTCCTTATCTCCGCGGCTGTTCACATTCGACACGTATATGGGCGAGTTTCCAAGCCGTTTCAGGATCGCAACCGCGAGCTTCTCTTTTCCAATGAGATACGTGCCTACGAGTATGAGGTACTTCTTGGGTTTGGCCTTGGTCCGCAACAGAAGAAAATCCGTGATACGGCTCTGTAACGAATTGCCGAAGACCTCCTTCACGAGCCCGTCGTTGTTTGAGAACTCGTGGATCAAATCTGCCACAGCACCACAGACCTGCTCCTGTTTTGGAAAGTTGTATTTGGGGGTCATGTACGTGGTATCGAGATAGACATTTTCAAGCCGGTTTCCAGCACCAACAAGAAAGTCCCTGAGCAAGGGGTGAAGCATTATGCTTCTGTTTACCCGGAAGTCGCCGCAGTGAAGACTAAATGTGGACTTGCCATCTATGGAGACGCCCTCAAATAGAAAAATCACTGCCCCAGGACAGTGGTTGGCATCAATGCATGTGACATAGACACCGGGGGTTTTTTCGTCCGACGTCTCACCGCCATTTTCGATGCTGTGGGTGAATGAGTGGATTTTGTAGCGCACGTCGTTGGCCATCGAAAACACGTGGCAGGGGGCGACGCTGTATCGGATTCCGAGAAGCCTTGCGGTGATTTCTGAGCAGTAAATGATTTTCGAATCGATGGTCCGCTCGCGACACCATTTCTTTGTGATGCCGCCGTAGTGGTCTGAGTGAAAGTGCGAGAGGAAATACTGGTGAATAGTCTCATGGGGCTTGTAGCAGAAAGCATCTACTGATAGGCGGTAGACACTGGTCAGAGATATGGGGAATTTCAATGTTTTCAAGTCGGGGATCTCCGTTTTGCGAGAAGACTGGAGAAGCTCCATCGGCACTACGCCTTCCGTTTCCCCCACGTCCTCGGGTTTCGGTGCCGTGTCCCTCTGTCTTTTCACAGTTGGCTGCGAATTCACATACCGAAGCATCTCTTTTTGTGGCAAGCCGAGGTCCCGCTTCCGCTTTGGCTCCGGAACTTTGCCGCTGGACCTGCGCTTGATACGCGGGTTGATGACAATCTGCTGCTTGTCGTCGGAAAACGACGGTTCTGTGCTATCCACAAGGCCCAAGTTAGTCTCGTGTTTAATTGCATGCAGTTCCCTCAGAACTGGGGCCTCTGGCTTCGAAACCGGAAGATCCGCACATCGCAACATTTGCTTCGGTAGGCTGTCTTTTCCGATCGCTGCAATGGACAAACATTCTTCCACATGGCGGATCCGGTTGTCCATAGTGAAATTGTCCATGGCAGTCTGGCATAGTGGACAAGGCACTGAGGCCGCCACGGGCTCTGAGCTTGCCGCTGACACAGGCGAAGGTTTTTCTGGAATAACTTCATGTCGCTTCCCGAGCTCGAATAACGTTGCCTGTTTTTTGGGGCGAGACATGTCGTCCTGAAGACGAGAGAACTGATTTGCCGTTAATTTCCAGATTGCGAGGTGACGCCATGATGCAGGCGCATCGCCGTCGCGGTGGACTGCGGAGAGCGGTCACACCCGTGCCTCCGGCAGGATAGTCAAGCTGGGGCTGGCACCGGTATGTAGCTTCTTACATTCATGGTGACTCCGTCTAACCCACTCTGATTTTAGAAATTTTGAGAAGCCAGAGCGCTTAAAAAGACGTGGTTGTGAACCCTTGGGCTATTCATATTTGCTGGACTATTGGAAACCTGCGCTACTATCTGAGCCGTCGTCATCCGGACTACCAATTCTCGCCTCGATGTACTAGAACATCTGGACTCAGGCATCAACTATTTCAGGAAACCTCAACTTATTTACCGGAAGACCTCTGGAAAATCAAGGGTTGACTCGAGTGTCTATATTTGAAGTACTGGAACTCTAGAGTCTGAAGCACAAGCACATGTATCTGAAGTTAACTCTGAAGTAACTGGATTTTCCTGAAACTCTATAGTATTCAAAACCTGGAACTCTTTAGAATCCGGAAAGCCGATCCCACAAAACATACAGACTAAAACTGCCCCCTCCCTATAACCCCTATCCAAGTACTACGCAACCCAGCATACACGAGCAGCATGGGATTACTAAGCATCATCCGCAAGCAAAAAGAGAAAGACAGCGAAATCCGAGTGTTGGTGCTCGGCCTAGACAATTCGGGGAAAACCACCATTATTCGGAAACTCATGGGCTGCGACACGCAAAGCGTCGCGCCCACCATGGGATTCCAGATCCACACGTTTGCATGGCAGGACTTCCACATCAACGCCTGGGACATTGGCGGCCAGCTGACGCTCCGCAGCTTCTGGGGCAATTATTTCGATAGTGTGGACGTCGTGGTGTGGGTCGTGGACGGCACAAGTGTCGAGAGATTGCACGAGCTGTACGACGAGCTTCGAAGTAAAGTGGTGCAACAGGAGCAGTTGGCAGGCACGTATTTCTGTGTTGCCATCAACAAAACAGACTTGGTGGCCGACCTGCAGCTAGCTCTGGTCCGCCACTCTGTTGAGGCTTCGTTGAGGTTGCTGGCCGAAATCCCGGCTGATAGGTACACAGTTAAATGCGTGTCGGGCCGTGACGGCCGTGGCCTTGTGGAGCTAATGGAATGGATCACATCGAAGTTTCAGGCCCCTTGACTTATTCCAGATTCAGAATCTGAGAAACAACACGATGCCCGTTTTGCATCAAGAATAAGCGAGCTATGGCTGTTTGCAAATGTCCACAAGATGATAGCAGGCGGGTGTCCAACAGACGTCTTGGCGAAAAGCAGTCTGGAAAATGAAGTGTCTATCAATCCTTACATTTTTCAATCAGATGAATCCATCAAAATAAAAGTCTGTATTGCTTGAGGGTGCGCTTTGGGATGCTTGTGGATACGTTGGGTCGGATGGATACCATGGCAGATTCGTGGACATGGTACATGATGATTGGAGCCTTTGAGTTGGTTCGGTTTACCGAGGAGCTGTGTTTATAACGATTCTGCATAACCAAGAGGAATGGCCAAGTGGAACTAGTGGTGCTTCCGTTTTAGCTGCGCGATAGTATTGCAGTGCCACTGGTGATACGTTGAGCAGGCTGTCGTTTTATCATTTGTGCGTTAGCACAGTCAGCTGAAAAAGAGCTGGCGAAATAAGTGATTGATATTGTCGGAGATTCTCTAGTCCACTTCACGGGCATAGTGCTCAAGCATCGCATGGACGAAATAGTCTTCAGGAGTATCTTTTGTTTCCGTCGTCTCACAAAGTTCTTGCTGAAGCCGCCTTTGAGGTCAATTGTCGGTCAGTAGTTTTCGCCCGTTCTGGTGACCGGAATCTTCTTCCCTACAGAGCGGTAATCTATATATAGCTGTCACAATTATCATCACGGAGAAAGTGAAATTAGATCAAAAAATACGAGAGAAGGATTCAGGGGTTTACATTCATGATTGAATTTTGTTTGCAATGACCGTTCACGTTTGGATGTTTGAGTATTGACGTGCGGTTCCCCCTAGGGTCTACAGAATCTCCAATATCCAATAGTAACATCAAGGTCGTCCTCTATAATTAAAATTGGGCCAGCAGGTTGACCAAATCTTGTACAATAAACACCACCATAGCAGGTCCATCAATGGAAAGACTCCAAATGAGTCTGGGAACTATCAGGATGCTCACTCATACCACGGGCACATCTAAGGTACATACCCAACAGCCAAACCAACGACTTTATTCCATGAGAAAAGCCTTTTGAAGCCTGTGATGAGGTAGGCCTCTGTATTAGTTTATCGGGGACCTCTGTATTGATTTAGACCTCTGTATTGATTTATCGGGGATCTCTGTATTGATTTATCGGGGACCTCTGTATTAGTTTATCGTGGACCTCTGTATTAATTTAGACCTCCTTATTGGTTTATCATTGGATCTCTGTATTAATTTATCGTGGACCTCTGTATTGATTTAGACCTCTGTATTAGTCTATCGTGGACCTCTGTGTTGATTTATCGGGTACCTCTGTATTGATAGACCTCTGTCTTG